GCTGCCCCCTTAAAAATTTAGTACTGCAATGCTCGTTAAATTGTTCTTAACTAAGCCACTACAGGAGACACTGGTATGCCAGCAGCACTGTAGAACGTATACGTAGACATGCTGGGGGTCAGGACAGCTGTAACTGCAGGCTGCCTTAGCTTGTCCTGGCTAGCTTGGAGTGCTGCTTTCAAGCTTGCTTGAATGTGCTTGCTAAGCCCGTGTCAACCACTTGGATATTTGATTGTAGCAGGCAGGTAGGCACACAGGAGACATATTCGTAAGATGAGTGGAGTGCGGCACAGAGAACTGACACGGGCACTCAAGCATTTATGTGGTCTGGCAAAAACCGCCTCTAGACCATAAGTAGAGGCGAATGGCTGAGTTCCAAATTACCTGGAGTTTACCTGGAGAGAGTTCCGGGGGTCAACGCCCCCGCGGCCCGGTCTGTGACCAGGCCTCCTGGTGGATCAGAGCCTGATCAACCAGGCTGTTGCTGCTGGCTGCACGCAAACCAACGTACGAGCCACAGCCCGGCTGATCCGGAACTGACTTTAGGTGCTTGTCCAGTGTCAGCTTGAAGACTGCCAGGGGTCTGTTGATAATCCCCCTTATGTGTGCTGGGAGGCAGTTGAACAGTCTCGGGCCCCTGACACTTATTGTATGGTCTCTTAACGTGCTAGTGACACCCCTGCTTTTCATTGGGGGATGGTGCATCGTCTGCCAAGTCTTTTGCTTTCGTAGTGAGTGATTTTCGTGTGCAAGTTCGGTACTAGTCCCTCTAGGATTTTCCAGGTGTATATAATCATGTATCTCTCCCTCCTGCGTTCCAGGGAATACAGGTTTAGGAACCTCAAGCGCTCCCAATAATTGAGGTGATTTATCTCCGTTATGCGCGCCGTGAAAGTTCTCTGTACATTTTCTAGGTAGGCAATTTCACCTGCCTTGAAAGGTGCTGTTAGTGTGCAGCAATATTCCAGCCTAGATAGAACAAGTGACCTGAAGAGTGTCATCATGGGCTTGGCCTCCCTAGTTTTGAAGGTTCTCATTATCCATCCTGTCATTTTTCTAGCAGATGCGATTGATACAATGTTATGGTCCTTGAAGGTGAGATCCTCCGCCCATGGTGGCCCGGTGGCCTGGTGGTGGCCCGGTGGCCTGGTGGCTAAAGCTCCCGCTTCACACACGGAGGGCCCGGGTTCGATTCCCGGCGGGTGGAAACATTTCGACACGTTTCCTTACAACTGTTGTCCTGTTCACCTAGCAGCAAATAGGTACCTGGGTGTTAGTCGACTGGTGTGGGTCGCATCCTGGGGGACAAGATTAAGGACCCCAATGGAAATAAGTTAGACAGTCCTCGATGACGCACTGACTTTCTTGGGTTATCCTGGGTGGCTAACCCTCCGGGGTTAAAAATCCGAACGAAATCTTATCTTATCTTATCACTCCCAGGTCTTTGACGTTTGTGTTTCGCTCTATTTTGTGGCCAGAATTTGTTTTGTACTCTGATGACGATTTAATTTCCTCATGTTTTACCATATCTGAGTAATTGAAATTTCTCATCGTTGAACTTCATATTGTTTTCTGCAGCCCACTGAAAGATTTGGTTGATGTCCGCCTGGAGCCTTGCAGTGTCTGCAATGGAAGACACTGTCATGCAGATTCGGGTGTCATCTGCAAAGGAAGACACGGTGCTGTGGCTGACATCCTTGTCTATGTCGGATATAAGGATGAGGAACAAGATGGGAGCGAGTACTGTGCCTTGTGGAACAGAGCTTTTCACCGTAGCTGCCTCGGACTTTACTCTGTTGACGACTACTCTCTGTGTTCTGTTAGCGAGGAAGGAGGGGAGGTAGGCGAGGGGGAGTGAGGGTAGGCCTCCTACAGTCACTTCAAATCAACGTTTGTGTTTCACTAGGTATATCACTGGTCACAGTTCACACATAAGAGTTCCAGCAGCAATTCAGCTGCGCTCCAACGATATTTGTTGCATGATGAGTTATCAGTCGGGTGAGATAAGCAGTTCTGATATAGAAGGCCTAGGACCTCACTCAACACACACGTCCTCTCCCCTCAACCACTCAGGCCTTACTGTGGGACCAAGAGAGCATGTAGGCCAGGATGAATTACAGCAGTTGGATATGCTGAATGTTGAAGACAGAGTAAAACAACTGAAGCTAAATCATGTTTATAAAATTGCTCACAAACAGTGTCCAGAATATCTTGCTGTCAATTTTGTCAAGGTTGGGAACCAAAGCAATCATAGTACTAGGGGTAGAGAGCACAACTTTGTAGTACCCACAGTCAGTGGCCAGGCTTCAAACACCTTTTATTGTACAGCAATAAAGGAATGGAACAGACTACCCGCACATGTCAAAGCCAGTCATAGCATGAACCAGTTCAAGAAGAGTGCCAAAAGGTGTCTGATGAATGTAGCTAAAGAAAGGGAGGGGAATGATTTTCTATTTTTTAGCTAACATACGTGTAAATTTTACCTTATTCCTAGTAATGACCCTCGTATTGTAGATAGTCTTAATGACCCTCGTGTAGTAGTCTTTTTAGTATGATAATAAGATGTTATCTTAATTGTAGAATAATAAGAAAATATTATAACCTTTATATTATAATAATAAGGTAAAAGGACCCCAATGGAAATAAGTCACTCTGTCTGACTTTTTTGGGTTATCCTAGGTTCTCTACACATATGCTGCTATGTATGATAATTCTATGTAACTATTTGTGTATACCTGAATAAACTTACTTACTTACTGGGATCAAGAACCCTACGCCAGTATCATCTGCAGGAAGGTGAGTTAACTCAATTTCCTGTGATCAAGAACCCGACACCAACGTCGTCTGCAGGAAGGTGGGTGAGCATCACTACCTGGGATCAAAAACCCTACACCAGCGTCGTCTGCAGCGCTACTGCGCATGCTCAATATTTTTCGCGGGAAAACATTTCCCGCCAAGTATATTGTTGTTGTTGTGGTGTGTGTGTGTCAGGTGTTACTGTGAGTCCTCCTCTGTTTGACCCACCATGGAAGGCTTTGATGACCCTGGTATCTTCTTCTCTGATAACTTCTCCACGGAAGAGCAGAACGATCAGAATCAAGTTAATCTTCAAGCTGTGAAGAAGAAGTTTAGAGAGTTCCTGCGGGAGTTTCACGAAGGCAACTTCAACTACAAGTATAGGTAAGACTTGTACCAGAATAACACCGATGATTGTTCATCTTCATGAACTTAACATGCAGTAGGACCTCGAAATTAATATTGTGTAGCAATGATAGCTGTTGAGTGGAATGAAAGTTATAAGCTGATCACAAGGTTACTCAACACCAATGGATTTGACTGAAGCCCCATTGAAAATGTCGTATTGTAAGTAGGGTTATTTATGTATAAATACAAATAAGTATAATTGTACATAGTTTAGCATGTGTGTAAATTACCAAGGATAACCCCAGAAAAAGTCAAAAGTGACTTACATTCATATTGTGCTATCCTAGTTATATTTTTATAATATATGAAAGCATTGCTGAAGCTTAGATTTATATTATATATGAGAATTACACAAATTTTCACATTCATTTACGAGGACGAAATATATATGGACAACCTCGACAACAACCTAAATTTCAACACCCTTATCCAACACATAAAAAAAGTATCCAAAACGGTGGGGATCCTCTCTAAGATATGATACTACGTACTGCAAACTGCCCTTCTCACACTATACCATTCACTTATATATCCATACCTCACGTATGCTATCTGTGCTTGGGGTTCAACTGCAGCAACACACTTAAAGCCAATAATAACCCAACAAAAAGCCGCAGTAAGAATAATCACTAAATCCCATCCCTGGCAACCCCCCCCCCCCCACTCTTCATAGATCTAAACTTACTCCCTGTTCAGAACATCCACACTTACTACTGTGCAATCTTTATCTACAGGACCTTAAATTCCAATATTAACCTTGACCTAAAACGCTTTCTTGATAGTTGTGACAGGATCCACAGGCATAACACCGGACACAAACATCTCTATGACATTCCCCGTGTCCGACTAAACCTTTACAAAAATTCAATGTATTTCAAAGGACCTAAAATCTGGAACACCCTACCTGAAAGCTCTAGAACTGCAGACACATTCATCACTTTCAAAACTACAGTTAGAAAACATCTTATCTCCCTGATACACCCCGACAACTAACTACATGATAACCACCTGGTGGTTCAAAATTACACTCACTCACCCACTGACTATAAACACAGAAATACTAATCTTAATCTTAAAATAATAAATCCTAACTAGTCATAAGTTTGCCTATGATACTCCAATATAGACACTTTGTATTGTGCCAAAACAAAAACATTCACATTGCTAAATTCACAAATTATGATGTAGTCACTTAGCCTTAATACCATAATCTGTAAGGATTTAATGTTAAGAATTAATCTAAGTCTGCTCGAAATGCCTAGCCATGCTAGGTGTCCTAGTGGCCCCCTCTGTAATTAGTATTTTATAACATATAAACCACACAATACCCAAAACCTGTAAACCCCACATTGTAACCCTTATAGAGAAGAAACTTGAATTGAATTGAATACATCCTGGGAGTGTAAGTTTATATAGGCTCAGGTACACATCAGTACGGTTGTCATACATATTGTAAATAACCTAGGATAACCCCACAAAAAAAAGTCAGTGACTTATTTCCATTAGGAATAATGTTTTGATTCTATAGTATTGGTTATAATGACAGTAATAAGGTGTCTTCCATGGTACAATACACATTCTCCACTCGTGTCTTGATAAACTTAATTTACTAAAACTACAAACCCTTCCTTGGTGGGAGATGGCCAGTGTGTTAAAAAAGGATAAATTTACAAATACAACTTGAAGATGAGTGAAACACACACTCAAGGAGTGCCAGTGAATAATTTGAGAAGCCTTTAAAATAGGTTAAACATGTAATACCTGTTTCTCTGTGCCCAGAACGTGTACTGCAGTGGTATTGTTTTTATTATCAAATCCACTACTGAGATCACAGTATAACTTTCCTGACATAACCTCTCTGCATTTGCCCCAAAAATGAAGAAAGTTTTTCACTGAAGCCTGAATCTTGTCTCGTGGCCTGGTAGGCAATGCTGTTACTTCACACACTGTCCATGGTTTGATTCCCAGCAAGGGTGGAAACATTGGGCATGTTTCCTTATATCTGTTGTCCTGTTCACCTAGCATCATTGTTAGTGAAGATGAGGTCTAGTGTATTCTCCAGTCTAGTAGGCTCTATTATTTGCTGGTTTAAATTGAATTTTGTGCAGAGATTTAAAAGCTCGTGTGAGTGTGAGTTTTCATCGGAGGCAGCTCTGATGAAAACTCACACTCACACGAGCTTTTAAATCTCTGCACAAAATTCAATTTAAACCAGCAAATAATAGAGCCTACTAGACTGGAGAATACACTAGACCTCATCTTCACTAACAATGATGATCTGATAAGAAAAAGTCACCATATCAAAAACAATATACTCAGATCACAAACATAATTGAGGTTCAGACATGCATGCGTGGAGCCCCAGACCGACAAAATGAGACTAGTCACGAGGGAGCATTCACCAAATTCAACTTCAATAACAAAAACATAAAGTGGGACCAAGTAAAGCAAGTCCTAAACCGATATAAGCTGGGAAGATACACTAAGCAACACAGACCCCAACTTATGCCTAGAACAGATTAACTCGGTGGCACTCGATGTATGCACAAGGCTTATTCCTCTAAGAAAAAGGAGGAGTAGATGTAAAATAGAAAGAGACAAGCGCTCCCTTTACAGGCGACGGAAAAGAATAACAGAGCGGCTAAAAAGAGGTCAATATATCTGAAATGTGTAGGGAGACACTGGTCAGAGAATAGCAAGCATCGAACTTAAGCTAAAAGAATCCTTTAGGAGTCAGGAATCGTGGGAAGAACTAAAAGCCATAAATGAAATCGAAAGAAACCCAAAGTATTTCTTCTCCTATGCCAAATCAAAATCGAAACAACGTCCAGTATTGGGCCCCTACTTAAACAAGATGGGTCCTACACAGATGACAGCAAGGAAATAAGTGAGCTACTCAAGTCCCAATATGACTCAGTTTTTAGCAAGCCGCTAACCAGACTGAGAGTCGAAGATCAAAATGAATTTTTTATGAGAGAGCCCAAAAATTTGATTAACACAAGCCCATCCGATGTTATCCTGACGCCAAATGACTTCGAACAGGCGATAAATGACATGCCCATGCACTCTGCCCCAGGGCCAGACTCATGGAACTCTGTGTTCATCAAGAACTGCAAGAAGGCCCCTATCACGAGCCTTTTCCATCCTATGGAGAGGGAGCATGGACACGGGGGTCGTCCCTCAGTTACTAAAAACAACAGACATAGCCCCACTCCACAAAGGGGGCAGTAAAGCAATAGCAAAGAACTACAGACCAATAGCACTAACATCCCATATCATAAAAATCTTTGAAAGGGTCCTAAGAAGCAAGATCACCACCCATCTAGAAACCCATCAGTTACACAACCCAGGGCAACATGGTTTAGAACAGGTTGCTCCTGTCTGTCTCAACTATTGGATCACTACGACAAGGTCCTAAATGCACTAGAAGACAAAAAGAATGCAGATGTGACCATGGCGTAATAGCGCACAAAATGCGTGCTAAAGGAATAACAGGAAAAGTCGGTCGATGGATCTATAATTTCCTCACTAACAGAACACAGAGAGTAGTCGTCAACAGAGTAAAGTCCGAGGCAGCTACGGTGAAAAGCTCTGTTCCACAAGGCACAGTACTAGCTCCCATCTTGTTCCTCATCCTCATATCCGACATAGACAAGGATGTCAGCCACAGCACCGTGTCTTCCTTTGCAGGTGACACCCGAATCTGCATGACAGTGTCTTCCATTGCAGACACTGCAAGGCTCCAGGCGGACATCAACCAAATCTTTCAGTGGGCTGCGGAAAACAATATGAAGTTCAACGATGAGAAATTTCAATTACTCAGATATGGTAAACATGAGGAAATTAAATCTTCATCAGAGTACAAAACAAATTCTGGCCACAAAATAGAGCGAAACACCAACGTCAAAGACCTGGGGGTGATTATGTCGGAGGATCTCACCTTCAAGGACCATAACATTGTATCAATCGCATCTGCTAGAAAAATGACAGGATGGATAATGAGAACCTTCAAAACTAGGGAGGCCAAGCCCATGATGACACTCTTCAGGTCACTTGTACTATCTAAGCTGGAATATTGCTGCACTCTAACAGCACCTTTCAAGGCAGGTGAAATTGCCGACCTAGAAAATGTACAGAGAACTTTCACGGAGCGCATAACGGAGATAAAACACCTCAATTACTGGGAGCGCTTGAGGTTTCTAAACCTGTATTCCCTGGAACGCAGGAGGGAGAGATACATGATTATATACACCTGGAAAATCCTAGAGGGACTAGTACCGAACTTGCACATGAAAATCACTCACTACGAAAGCAAAAGACTTGGCAGACGATGCACCATCCCCCAATGAAAAGCAGGGGTGTCACTAGCACGTTAAGAGACCATACAATAAGTGTCAGGGGCCCGAGACTTTTCAACTGCCTCCCAGCACACATAAGGGGGATTACCAACAGACCCCTGGCAGTCTTCAAGCTGGCACTGGACAAGCACCTAAAGTCAGTTCCTGATCAGCCGGGCTGTGGCTCGTACGTTGGTTTGCGTGCAGCCAGCAGCAACAGCCTGGTTGATCATGGGCTGATCCACCAGGAGGCCTGGTCACAGACCGGGCCGCGGGGGCGTTGACCCCCGAAACTCTCTCCAGGTAAACTCCAGGCAAGTAAGTGGGTACCTGGGTGTTAGTCGACTGGTGTGGGTTGCATCCTGGGGGACAAGATTAAGGACCCCAATGGCAATAAGATAGTCCTGAGATGATGCACTGCCTTTCTTGCATTATTCTGGGTGGCTAACTCTCTGGGATTAAAAATCTGAAGAAAAAATCTTACTGATCCATCACTTGCTAATGTTGTCTTTTCACTGCCACCGATGGGATGCTTGATGGGCACTTAATCGAGTTATTAAACTACCAATGCTGTCAGTGTTGTGTGCCTACTTTATTTTTTTTTCAAATAGTATTAGTGTTATTTTCTTTATAAAGCTCTATTTAAATTGTTCTATATTGTATAATTGTTAACAGTAGTGATAGGATGATTTTTACTTAACCCGTAAACGGTCCAAGCAGATCTACGTTCACATGTAGTGCTACAAAAGTAGATCTACTTTTTTTTACATATTTTTCAAATATAACAAAAAAAAAAAGTAGATCAAAGTTTTTTACTCATTTTCAAATGTAAAAAAACAAAAATCTACTTTTTTTTACATAATTTCAAATGTTGAAAAAACGTATATATACGTTTGGACCGTTTACGGGTTAAACTGATACCATCAAAATTATCAAATACTTTCAAAATTGGCCAGTGCCCACTAGTACCAATACTTTGCCTTATCTGTAATTAAAAAGATATAGGTCCTGAATATTTTGCCAAATGAAGGGATTGCAGCATTCACATAAATAGCAAAGAGTGCAGTAGCAGTTTTTGTTTTTTTAATGGTCCAAGATAGACTGAAACGTCATCACAAGTGTCTGTGTGTGGGTTATTTGTGTAAAATAGGTACTGAAGTTAACTTTACCTCTGTTTAATTTGCTGCATCTACAGCATGTATTTTTCTTATTTTTGTGCATATTTTCAATGCAGTTTAGGTAACTATCATGGCTATAAGTTGCTACTCTTGACCTGCCAAAAAGAAAAATGTGGCTGCAAATACAGTCAGAGTAACGAGGGGCAATTTTTCTTATTTTACAATTCTTGTTTCATTAGTGAATTTGATTATTTTTGGCATATTTTTATTTTTCTTCATGAGGCCTGTCAGTTTTGTCACATTATTTTTGCTGTATATTAATTAAATTATTACCTTTAGGGATTCTCTGAAACGGCAGTACAACTTGCGGAAATATTGCCTTGAAGTCAGCCTTGAAGATGTGGCAAGCTTTGATGAAACCCTTGCTGATAAACTTAAGAAATTGCCCACAGAGCACATCCCGCTTGTGAGTCCTTATTTCTGTATTAAATGTTACACACCCTTCTTTATTAAATAAGGATCAAATTTAAATGTGCCCATCTCATGGGTCTCCCTGCCCTTACACAGTGTAATTAAGTGAAATTACAGATATCATGAACTTGTTAAATTAATACAGTACTGTCAACAAAATAATTTACATATCATGCCACTTTTCTTTCATGCTACAATATTGGTGTGAAGTTTGAGGAAGCTGCAAAAGAAGTTGCAGATGAGGTGACATCCCCTCGACCACTAGGAGAAGAGAAGGTGGAAGACATTCAGATTATGCTCAGCTCCGGGGCCCATCCTATTGATGTTCGAACTTTGCAGGTTTGTGACTTTTTTTTTGCAAATAATCATGGAGAGAGAATAATGTTTGCTCAAACTGAGAGGTTTATAAATACCATTTTTTTATTATTAACCTTTTGAGTGGACATCATGTAGAACTAAATTATTGGTGTGAGGGGTCCCTCATGTAGATATGTCATGAGCTCAGATAAGCTGTGAGTGACAAATTGTGGCCTACCCATGAGAGATTGGGTCTGCAGTGAGTGTGCAAAGTATGAATAAATAAATCTTGCCTCATGCAGTTCATGATGGGGAAAGTAAAATCTGAGTTGTTTTCTTAATGGTTTATGTTTTTTTTTGGCCATTTCTTGGTATCACTTGATGGAATGGAAAACCTGCTGAAATAGAGATGATTTTGGTTGGTTTCAGGACCAGAAGTAACTTGAAATATGGCTCAGTGTTGTGGAAATATTCTCTTTTTGCCAGTTCTGTAGATGTGTAAGGACCCCATACCCCCCCTATTCTGTTTCATGGTTTTTTTAATAGGTCTGGTTATATTTTATCTCAATGGGGAAGTGGAATAGAATTCTTCCTCCATAAGCCATGTGTGTCGTAAGAGGCCACTAAAATGCTGGGAGCAAGGGGCTAGTAACCCCTTCTCCTGTATACTAAATTTAAAAATAAAATTTTTTTAGGTCACTCTCCCTCGGTGGGATGTGGCCGGTTTGTTGAATTTTTTTTTTTTCAGAGAAATAGTGTAAATTTTCAATTTTCTGTGGAATACACTGTAAATGTGTCAAAAAAAATACTTCCCTCAAGAGTTTTATTTAAGTTTATTTAATAAATTTTTTATTCAGGTTTCTGGCGTATATACAATTAGTTTTACTAAGATCTTGATGGCATACACATTATGGCCACATAAAAAGTACATACGCAAATTTAACCCTTTGACTGTCACGGCCGTATATATACGTCTTACGAGGTACCGTGTTTGACGTATATATCCTCAAATTCTAGCGGCTTCAAATCAAGAGAAAGCTGGTAGGCCCACATGTGAGAGAATGGGTCTGTGTAGTCAGTGTGCACCATATAAAAAAATCCTGGAGCACGCAGTGCATAATGAGAAAAAAAAAACTGACCGTTTTTTTTAATTAAAATGCCGATTTGTGATCTATTTTCGTGTAGTATTTATGGTTGTATTCTCGTTTTCCTGGTCTCATTTGATAGAATGGAAAACATATTATAGAAATAGAGGTGATGAAGTTGAAATTAAGACACATGTGCAACATCTGGGTATCTTTATTGTAGACGTTTCGCCATACAGTGGCTTTATCAATACAAATTCTAGGACATAACTTGAAGACAGTAGAACCATGTACAGAAGATGAGGTAATCAGTCCCTCAACCTAGGAGTAGGTGCGAAGAGCACCATAGTCGTGAAGATTTTGAAGCAGAAGAAAGGAGCCTGGCGCTTATATACAGTGGACCCCCGCATAGCGACTTTAATCCGTGCAAGAGGGCTGATTGTTATGCGAAATGATCGGTATGCGAATGAATTTTCCCCATAAGAAATAATGGAAATCAAATTAATCCGTGCAAGACACCCAAAAGTATGAAAAATTTTTTTTTACCACATGAAATATACATTTTCCTACACACAAAGAGAAGGATACATGCACAATAGTAGAGTAGTACATGCACAATATATATTGTGCATGTACTACTGTACTAAATGAACAATAAATGACACCTTTATTGAAGATGCAGCAATTTACTGATGAGACAAATGTGTCCTGGGAGTGCCTTTTTCTCCTGAGTACTGTAGGTCCTGTTTGGCATTTTCTTCCAGAACAGGCCTTATCACACTGTGTATGCCACTACGATTCTTAAATCTCTCAAACCAACCTTTGCTGGCTTTAAATTCACCAATATGAGCACTAGTTCCAGGCATTTTTTCCCTGTTCACCTGGGTGTTAGTCGACTGGTGTGGGTTGCATCCTGGGAGACAAGATTAAGGACCCCAATGGAAGTAAGTTAGACAGTCTTCGATGACACTGACTTTTTTGGGTTATCCTGGGTGGCAAATCCTCTGGGGTTAATTGTTTCTTGGTATTCTCATAAGCCCACACCAACAACGGTGCTAAAAGCAGCAGCAGCAGCAGCTGACAGTGCTACAGCAGCAGCAGACGATGCTAACAGCAGCAGCAGACGATGCTTACAGCAGCAGCAGAACGATGCTACAGCAGCAGCAGACGATGCTACAGCAGCAGCAGACGATGCTACAGCAGCAGCAGACGATGCTACAGCAGCAGCAGACGATGCTACAGCAGCAGCAGACGATGCTACAGCAGCAGCAGACGATGCTACAGCAGCAGCAGACGATGCTACAGCAGCAGCAGGGCGATGCTACAGCAGCAGCAGACGATGCTACAGCAGCAGCAGACGATGCTACAGCAGCAGCAGACGATGCTACAGCAGCAGCAGACGATGCTACAGCAGCAGCAGACGATGCTACAGCAGCAGCAGACGATGCTACAGCAGCAGCAGACGATGCTACAGCAGCAGCAGACATGCTACAGCAGCAGCAGACGATGCTACAGCAGCAGCAGACGATGCTACAGCAGCAGCAGACGATGTACAGCAGCAGCAGACATGCTACAGCAGCAGCAGACGATGCTACAGCAGCAGCAGACGATGCTACAGCAGCAGCAGACGATGCTACAGCAGCAGCAGACGATGCTACAGCAGCAGCAGACGATGCTACAGCAGCAGCAGACGATGCTACAGCAGCAGCAGACGATGCTACAGCAGCAGCAGACGATGCTACAGCAGCAGCAGACGATGCTACAGCAGCAGCAGACGATGCTACAGCAGCAGCAGACGATGCTACAGCAGCAGCAGACGATGCTACAGCAGCAGCAGACGATGCTACAGCAGCAGCAGACGATGCTACAGCAGCAGCAGACGATGCTACAGCAGCAGCAGACGATGCTACAGCAGCAGCAGACGATGCTACAGCAGCAGCAGACGATGCTACAGCGCAGCAGACATGCTACAGCAGCAGCAGACGATGCTACAGCAGCAGCAGACGATGCTACAGCAGCAGCAGACGATGCTACAGCAGCAGCAGACGATGCTACAGCAGCAGCAGACGATGCTACAGCAGCAGCAGACAGTACTACAGCAGCAGCAGCAGCTGACGGTGGTACAACAGCAGCAGCAGCTGACGGTGGTACAACAGCAGCAGCAGCTGACGGTGGTACAACAGCAGCAGCAGCTGTACCACCAATAGTAGCGATGGTTGATTGGGGTTTATTATACAACCTGGCCAGCTCGGAGACACACACTCCACTTTCATACTTATCAATGATCTTTTTCTTCATCTCTATAGTAATTCTCACCCTTATTGCTGTAGGGTTGGCACTAGAAGCTTTCTTGGGGCCCATGGTCACTTATTTTCCAGATAAAATCACCAAAAACACTGTAATAATACGAAATGTTCCGATTGTATGTTTGGATGTTACCGTGGAGGCTGGCTGGTAAACAATGCCACCGCCGGCACATGTGAGGCTGGCTAAGGGCGCACATTGGACGCGTCTCGGACGAAGAGCGGTGAGCGGGTTTTTGAGCGGTATGCGAGGCAAAATTTTTGCGATAAAAGCAAGCGGTATGCGGATTGAACGTCATGCAATGCGTACGGTATGCGGGGGTCCACTGTAGTAATGTCAGGTGTAGCAGATGAGGGCATAGTCACTGGTAGGCGGGATTCCCCAGTGGAAGTAGGTCCTTCCTAAAGAGATGGGTTAGTTGTAGTAGTAGTTGTTGTAGCCGTGAAGGTTGTGTACATGTCCTCAGAATCATTTTCCATGATGTTGCAGTGTTGATTGGTTTTACTATAAAAAGAACCTGGAAATGGAGCTCAAAGTAGGGGAAATGTTTGATTTTTGCCGATGTTCAAAAGTAAACAAATGATGTCATTGTCCAATAAATGTCCAACTAGCCATTCTGATATGCAGTCATGAATGGGTTGACATTATTTGTGCAATTATTACAATATTGCAGTAGTCTGCATAATGGTTAATCTTCTATTTTTTGTTTGAATAAAAATTCAAAATAGAAAGCAAGAGTAATATCAGAGGGGCCTGGAGACGTGACTGATGAACAAAGAAAATGTTACTTTAGAGCCAGGAATGTCTGCATTGTTCATTCTGGACCTTATTTTGAAATTGTCATATTTTTTAATTTTCGTGACATTGGCCAAATTGCAGATTTCTGACCACGTTATTGGGTAGTTGAAATTGGTAAATGGGCAGTTTCTTGTACTCAATCGATAGAAAAAATGGAGTTCTAAAGAAATAGCTATGAATTTGGTCGACTGGAACAATGGAACTAGCCGAAAATAGGGCTCAAAGTGGGAGAAATTGCCGATTTGTAAATATCGCCGAGGTCGCTAACTTTGCGAGAGTGTAATTCCGTCAGTTTTTCATCAAGTTTCAAGTTTTTGTTGTCATTACAATCGGGAAGATTCTCTATCATTTCATAAGAAATTTTTTTTTTTTTTTAAATTTTGCGACACTAGGAGACACCTCAGGATTGGGGGTTGCGACAGTCAAGGGGTTAATTATAATAATACAGTACCCTTTTTTGCTTCAGGTTTTTCCACCTTCCCAAGTTTTGCTTTACCTTCAACATTTTTTTTATTTTTTTTTTTGCTATTCCCTCTGTCTCCATTTTTATGCTATTTCCTTACCAACACTGTATGACCCATAAGAGTTTGGGACTTTTTTGATAATGACAGTGCTTCTCCCTCTGTTCTCAGTTTTGCTTTTTCTCTCTCTCCTCTTTCCTGTCTTCCTTACACCCTCTTGCTCTGCTCATTTTCCCAGAAACTTAAGGCACTTGGTTTTATTCAAGGATGTTTATATCTGCTGATATTCACTGCCTGTGTGGAGCCCATGCTTATATTTACATCATGGTAGTTGGCTCTTTTCGTATTACTGGGCTTCATTTAATATCAATTCAGACCCTTTGAGTTACAATGTGGTCCTGACTTAGGAGGTTCCGAATTACGAGGTTTTGCACTGACAACATTGGCATTTTGGAACAATTAATTATTTACAGTCGGTGTCTCTCTCTTCTGACACTGGGATGGCTATTATTGTTTTCTCATGCTTGATTTTTATATATCTTTTTCTTGGTGAGTCTTTTACTAAATACAGTCAAACTCTGTTCACTTTATACATAGGTGGAGAACTCTTATTTGTTTGAAAAAGATTGATCAAGAACTAAAGATTCAATATTTATGTTACTACATTGGTGGTTAGCAGTGGAGAAGGACTGGTAGAGGGTGGTGTGGCAGAAATGTGGGTGGGTTGACTGTGGGCCTGGTGGGAAGGCCCCCTCCCCTATCCCCCCTGATCAGCACTTCTTGTGATGTTGTGGAAATGTTCAGTAAGCATTTGAACTATGAATAAACACTATGCAGTAACTCAACTCTGCCTCACCCACCCACGTGACCCTTCCCCATGCCAACCCTCCTGCTCAGAATTTTATTAATTAATTTTTCATCCCTTTTTTAAGGGAGAATAGGTTGCAAGTATTAAACAGTCATCTTAAGATGAATATTCTGGAACATGACATTGTAAGTTGGGGACCTACTCTTTTTTTTTTTTTTTTTTTATTATCACACTGGCCGATTCCCACCAAGGCAGGGTGGCCCGAAAAAGAAAAACTTTCACCATCATTCACTCCATCACTGTCTGCCCAAAAGGGGGCTTTTCACTACAGTTTTTAAACTGCAAAAATTAAAAAAACCCCCCCCTTTAGAGTGCAGGCACGTCTTCCCATTCCAGGGCTCAAGCCGCCGCCGGTTTTTCCCTGAATCCCCTTTATAAATTTCTTTGCTCCACTCCAACAGCACGCAAGTATTTAAAAACCTTTTCTCCTTTACTCCATCAAACCGCCACGCATGCCCCTGGGAAATCCAACCCCTCGCACACAAAACCTCCCTAAACCCCCCCCCTCCAACCCTTCCTAGCCCCGACCCCCACCCCCCTTCCTTCCCTACAGACTGATACACTTAAGTCATTTTGTTTTGCTCCATTCCTCTACTTCCCCCAAACCACCTCAACAACCCTCCTCAGCCCTCTGGACAACAGTTTTGGTAATCCCGCACCTCCCCTAACTTCCAAACTACAATTCTCTGCATTATATTCACCCCCACACATTGCCCTCAGACATGACATCCCCAAACTGCCTCCAGCCTTCTCCTCGCTGCAACATTCATCCCCCACGCTTCACACCCATATAAGAGCGTTGTAAAACATACTCTCAAAACATTCCCCTCTTGCCTCCAAGGACAAGTTTTTTGTCTCCACAGACTCCTAAGTGCACCACTCACTCTTTTTCCCTCATCAATTCTATGATTCACCTCATCTTCATAGCCCCAAATTCCGCTGACACTCCACTCCCAATATCTGAATACTTCACCTCCTCCATACTCTCTCCCTCCAATCTGATATTCAATCTTTCATCACCTAACTTTTTGTTATCCTCATAACCTTACTCTTTCCCTGTATTCACCTTTAATTTTCTTCTTTTGAAACACCCAAACCAAATTCATCCACCAATCTCTGCAACTTCTCTTCAGAATCTCCCAAGAGCACAGTGTCATCAGCAAAGAGAGCTGTGACAACTCCCACTTTGTGTGTGATTCTTTATCTTTTAACTCCACCCTCTTGCCAAGACCCTCGCATTTACTTCTCTTACAACCCATCTATAAATATAATAAACAACCACGGTGACATCACACATCCTTGTCTAAGCCTACTTTTACTGGAAAAAATTTCCCTCTTTTCCTACATACTCTAACTTGAGCCTCACTATCCTCGTAAAAACTCTCACTGCTTTCAGTAACCACCTCCTACACCAACACTTTCAACATCTGCCACATTGCCCCCCCTATCCAACCCTGTCATAAAGCCATTTCCAAATCCATAAATGCCACAAAGACCTCTTTAGCCTTTCCTAAATACTGTTCACTTATATGTTTTTACTGTAAACACCTGGTCCACACACCCCCTACCTTTTTCCTAAAGCCTCCTTGTTCATCTGCTATCCATTCCCCCGTCTTACTCTTAATTCTTTCAATTATAACTCTACCTAAACACTTTACCAGGGACACTCAACAGACTTCTTCTTCTTCTTTCAAAACACCCGGCCGTATCCCACCGAGGTGGGGTGGCCCAAAAGGAAAACAAAAGTTTCTCCTTTACAATTTAGTAATATATACAGGAGAAGAGGTTACTAGCCCCTTGCTCCCGCATTTTAGTCGCCTCTTACAACACGCAAGGCTTACGGGGGAAGAATTCTTTCCACTTCCCCATGGAGATAAGAGGGAAATAAACAAGAATAAGAACTAGAAAGAAAATAAAGAAAACCCAGAGGGGTGCGTATATATGTGCTTGTACATGTATGTGTAGTGTGACCTAAATGTAAGTAGAAGTAGCAAGACGTACCTGAAATCTTGCATGTTCATGAGACAGAAAAAGGACACCAGCAATCCTACCATCATGTAAAACAATTACAGGCTTTCGTTTTACACTCACTTGGCAGGACGGTAGTACCTCCCTGGGCGGCTGACTCAACAGACTTATCCCCCTATAATTTTTGCACTCTCTTTTATCCCCTTTGCCTTTATACAAAGGAACATGCATGCTCTCTGCCAATCCCTAGGTACCTACCCTCTTCCATACATTTATTAAATAATTGCACCAACCACTCCAAAACTATATCCCCACCTGCTTTTAACATTTCTATCTTTATCCCATCAATCCCGGCTGCCTTACCCCCTTTCTTTTTAAACCTACTGCCTCACGAACTTCCCCCACACTCACAACTGGCTTTTCCTCACTCCTACAAGATGTTATTCCTCCTTGCCCTATACACGAAATCACAGTTTCCCCTATCTTCATCAACATTTAACAATTCCTCAAAATAATTCCCTCCATCTTCCCAATACCTCTAACTCTCCATTTAATAACTCCCCTCCTATTTTTTAAACTGACAAATCCATTTGTTCTCTAGGTTTTCTTAACTTGTTAATCTCACTCCAAAACTTTTTCTTATTTTCAACAAAATTTGTTGATAACATCTCACCCACTCTCCATTTGCCCCTCTTTTTACATTGCTTCACCACTCTCTAACCTCCTCTTTTTCTCCATATACTCTTCCCTCCTTGCATCACTTCTACTTTGTAAAAACTTCTCATATGCTAACTTTTTCTCCCTTACTACTCTCTTTACATCATCATTCCACCAAACGCTCCTCTTCCCTCCTGCACCCACTTTCCTGTACCACAAACTTCTGCTGAACACTCTAACACTACATTTTTAAACCTACCCCATACCTCTTCGACCCCATTGCCTATGCCCCATTAGCCCATCTATCCTCCAATAGCTTTTTATATCTTACCCCAACTGCCTCCTCTTTTAGTTTATAAACCTTCACCTCTCTCTTCCCTGATGCTTTTATTCTCCTTGTATCCCATCTACCTTTTACTCTCATGTAGCTACAACTAGAAAGTGATCTGATATAATCTGTGGCCCCTCTATAAACATGTACATCCTGAAGTCTACTCAACAGTCTTTTATCTACCAATACATAATCCAACAAACTACTGTCATTTCGCCCTACATCATAATCGTGTATCTTATTTATCCTCTTTTCTTAAAATATGTATTACCTATAACTAAACCCCTTTCTATACAAAGTTCAATCAAAGGGCTCCCATTATCATTTACACCTGGCAAACCCCCCAAACTTACCTACCACACCCCTCCTAAAATTTCTCCTACTTTAGCATTCAGGTCCCCTACCACAATTACCTCCACTTGGGTTTAAAGGCTCCTATACATTCACTTAACATCTCCCAAAAACTCTCTCTCTCCCCTCTGCATTCCTCTCTTCTCCAGGTGCATACACGCTTATTATAACCCACTTCTCGCATCCAACCTTTACTTTAATCCACATAATTCTTGAATTTACACATTCATATTCTCTTTTCCCTTCCATAACTGATCATTTAACATTACTGCTACCCCTTCCTTTGCTCTAACTCTCTCAGATACTCCAGATTTAATCCCATTTATTTCCCCCCACTGAAACTCTCCTACCCCCTTCAGCTTTGTTTCGCTTAGGGCCAGGACATCCAACTTCTTTTCATTCATAACATCAGCAATCATCTGTTTCTTGTCATCCGCACTACATCCACGCACATTTAAGCAACCCAGTTTTATAAAGTTTTTCTTCTTCTCTTTTTTAGTAAATGTATACAGGAGAAGGGGTTACTAGCCCATTGCTCCCGGCATTTTAGTCGCCTCATACGACACGCATGGCTTACGGAGGAAAGATTCTTTTTCCACTTCCCCATGGACAATAGAAGAAATAAAAAAGAACAAGAGCTATTTAGAAAAAGGAGAAAAACCTAGATGTATGTATATATATATATATGCATGTGCGTGTCTGTGAAGTGTGACCAAAGTGTAAGTAGGATAAGTTTTTCCACAAATGTTTTAACATATAAAAGATATAACCCTGTGAATGCAACTCCAACTTTTGTTTTGGCTCATTACATGCAGTAACTGATTTTTCTTCTTTTCCAGTCTGATGAAGTTAGTCGACTTGTCAAAGTAGCAGGTATTGTGGTGGCTGCCTCAGGGGTGAAGGCTAAAGCCTTAGTTCTAACAGTACAGTGCCGGTCCTGTCAAACTACCTTAACTAACATTCCTGTTAAGCCTGGTCTTGAAGGCTATCAGCTCCCTAGAAAATGCAATACGTAAGTAATGACACTGAACATGCTCTATATACATATTTCTCATCTCACAAAATTGTCAATGAAGCTTTTGGTGGGCTTATTATGAGTAAACTGTATAGTACAAAAGCACATAAAAGTATTCTACTACCAGGGAACAGGCTGGACGACCAAAATGTCCTCTTGATCCCTTCTTCCCTTTTGGGCCCGACAAGTGTGTGTGTGTTGACTACCAAGTGCTGAAGCTTCAGGAAGTTCCTGAGAATCTGCCACAAGGAGAAAATGCCCGTCACCCTCCAGCTTTACGTTGACAGGTTTGTAACGGTAATGCTATAAACAGACAACAAATAAATGCATGTTTAGTTCCCAAGATGATAAAAATTATACAGTAGAATATTGATGCTTGTCATGTATGTAAAAGTCTAATTCTGCAATGCATTTTGAGCAGACTTCAGATAATGCATATTTTAGAATGTGGTAGAATAGTTAAGGTTAAAGTATATAAATGCTCTGTGACATAACTGCTGGTCTAAGGTATGAAATGTAATCAGAATGAAAGCTTGCCAAAACATAGCACTCTAAAACCATAAAAACCATAAGGGTTTTGGAGAAACCGCTCTTTAGATATCTCTCTCTCTCTCTCTCTCTCTCTCTCTCTCTCTCAACAAGTCGGCCGCCTCCCACCGAGGCAGGGTGACCCAAAAAAGAAAGAAAGTCCCCAAAAAAGAAAATACTTTAATCATCATTCAACACTTTCACCACACTCACACACTATCACTGCTTTTGCAGAGGTGCTCAGAATACAACAGTTTAGAAGCATATACGTATAGATACACAACATATCCCTCCAAACTGCCAATATCCCAAACCCCTCCTTTAACCCTTTGTCGATCTTGGCTGAAAAAATTCGGTATTGATTACGTGTTTTTGGCGCGTGTCATACTTCGCGCCCCGCGCGGCCAGCTTCCCGTTCTTTAGTTCCAACCAATCACAAGCCTTCCCTGAGTCTCTTCAGCTAAGTACAGTTCGCTTCTGCCGCCTTCCCATTGGTTGAGAGATCAAAATATAAACACTAGCGGCTTGGCTTCGAACACACGCGCATTTTTCCCTCCACCCTTGCTAATCTACTCTGGATTATATATTCTACAATGTCGGTAAGACTGATTGTTGTGTTTAGTGCATACATGAATATTTAGGCATATTTTGATATATACCAAAAAGTCCGTGTGAAGCATAATATAGTGTAGCATCCCGTTGAAAAAAGTGCAAGCATTTTAGTCCGAATTATTTCGGTATTTGCGCGAGTTTCCGGAATGTCCAATTTTAGTCAAATAAATATTTATAAAAAATTTTCAATTGCATATATGAACTCTGTAGTGGCTGGATTTAATACAGAGGTTTCTATTGCCTTCCAGTTCCATGAGAGGCGTTTTATGGGAGCAGTCGACCAGCAGTCGAGGTATATCTGCGTTTCTGAGACAGTGCCCCTCAGAACCAGAAGGTAGACGAACCAAAATTTGCTGGATAGTGGGTGATGAATACTTGCCCCCGGGATGCACAGGATGCAGAGATGTCAACGATGATGAGGAAAAAAGGGGAAGAAAGGCCAGCCAAAAAGCAGAAAGTAATGAGGAAAAAGAAAACTTTTAGGATTGAGGAATACCCGGATGAGGAAGAGATCCATGAGAATATTGCTCTTCAAGTTTCATCTGAGTGGATCGTAGATGACATTGAAAATGACCTTTGCCGGCATATGAACATGAAAAGCCCTTGCAATTAGGTCTCCATATGAGTATTTTCGTATGTTCGTTACTCCAGCCATGATAGTTTAACATAGCATATCAAACAAATTTGTATACAAGGCAACAAGACGTAAATAGTACTTTTTCAACAGATTCTGAAAGAATCATGAGGTTCATAGGTATTTGTTGTTCATGGGTATTAAATTTCACTACCATCCCTCGAAGATTTTTGGGAAAGCTGGTTTTAGGAGCCAACAGGTTGCAGATAGCTGGCGTCTAAGAGGTTTAGGTACCTTAGAAGTCATATTCATTTCAATGACAACACAAAAAAGGATAATGACAGATTCTACAAAGTAAGGCCCCTTTACACTGAACTAACTAATGCATGCTTGAAAATTCCAGCTACACCCAAGCAATCTATTGATGAAGTCATGGTTGGTTTCAAGGTAAAACTGCTGGAACCTAAGGCAGTACAATCAAAACAAAACCAGAATAAGTGGGGTTTCAAACTTTTTTTTCGTGCAAGTCAAGATGGACTCATACATGATATACCATGTATCAAGGGACAACAACTTTTGACACACATCCCATACAGCTGCCACAGGAAGAATCTAAACTTCCAATAAGTACAAAGATTGTTCTGGTACTTGCACAAACTATGAACAAGACAAACACATCACAAAACTATCTGACAATTTCTTTTCAAGTATCCTTTGGTCAAACTACAAGAGATAATAAACGCAGATACACTGGAACAGTACGTGACAATAGATGTGGTAAGCCACATCTGGGGCCTATCAAACAATGGAAGAAAACAGTGTGGTCAGGGGCAATTTTTGCTTCAACAACAATGATGGTGTCCTTGTTGTACGATGGAAGGACACCAAAGTTGTGACTTAGTGACAACTGATATTGGGGTCGAGCCCATGATCTTGTTGAGAGATAAACAAGGGTACAAAAAGGAAAGAGAAATATCGGCCCTGCAGTCATCAAGAACTATAAAAGCAAACATGGGAGGTATTGACAAAAGCAACATGTTGGTGCATCTCTACAAACACCAATGAAATCAAAACGTTGGTACATCGGCTAATTTTCCTATATTATTGATCTTGCTGTTGTGAATGCATGGGGCTTTATTGCCGTGATTCTCGAGCAAAACAGCAAAAGTGTATGCAACTGAAATATTTCAGGAAATTCTATCTCTGAAATTGCAAGGGCAAAGGACAAAACCTTTGAGGGAGCAGCCTAAGAACAACTCCAAGACCTTCACCAACTAATTCACCATGTACTTCCAATGGTGTTGGCATAGTGAAACCTGGGAGGGGAACACGTACAAAATGCCTGATGACAGTGTTAGGAAAAACCTTAGTCTAATGCACTTCCCAATGGCAGGCAAAGGCCGTTTACTTGCAAGTATTGCCAGCACCTCGAAAAAAAACGGTAACATCGTCATTCGTCTGTAGTGTATGCAAAGTAAATCTGTGCATAAAGACGATAGAAATTGTTTCACAGACTTCCATCTTGCCAATTAGCAATATAGAATCTTGGTCTTCCCAAAGAAAATCTCGGGAAAATAGGATTGAAACTTGCATCACTTTGCCATTTGGCATTGTTGATATTTGCTTCCTTTCATATTTTTGTAACAATTAAAAAATGTTTTGATAAAAGTTCCATTTATGTTTTTTAAAATTGTCTGTTTGTATATTAAATTTAAAAAATTGTTTGGTGTGTTTTTTTTAACCCTTGCAAGTTTGCAACTAGAATTTTTAATCACTTTGTCGGGGGGGGCCTAATATTTTCCCGGGCTTCGAGATTGGCAATTGCTCGAAAACTAACCATCAGAAATCAATTTATATGGATCAGTGACCTTGTATTGAGTTACCTATCCACCATAGGGAGTTCAGTTCGAATTTCAAATTTTCGGACCCCTTGCGCGATGAAGGGTTAAAGTGCAGGCATTGTACTTCCCATTTCCAGGACTCAAGTCCGATTATATGAAAATAACCGTTTCCCTGAATCCCTTCACTAAATATTACCCTGCTCCACGCTCCAACAATCGTCAGGTCCCAAGTATCATTCGCTCCATTCACATCCTATCTAACACGCTCATGCATGCTTGCTGGAAGTCCAAGCCCCTCGCCCACAAAACCGCCTTTACCCCCTCTTTCCAACCTTTTCGAGGACGACCCCTACCCCTCCTTCCTTCCCCTATAGATTTATATGCTTTCCATGTCATTCTACTTTGATCCATTCTCTCTAAATGACCAAACCACCTTAACATCCCCTCTTCTGCCCTCTTGACTAATACTTTTATTAACTCCACACCTTCTCCTAATTTCCACACTTCGAATTTTCTGCATAATATTTACACCACACATTGCCCTTAGACAGGACATCTCCACTGCCTCCAACCATCTCCTCACTGCTGCATTTACCACCCAAGCTTCACATCCATATAAGAGTGTTGGTACTACTATACTTTCATACATTCCCTTCTTTGCCTCCATAGATAACGTTTTTTGACTCCACATATACTTCAACGCACCACTCACCTTTTTTCCCTCGTCAATTCTATGATTAACCTCATCCTTCATAAATCCATCCTCCGACACGTCAACTCCCAAGTATCTGAAAACATTCACTTCTTCCATACTCCTCCTCCCCAATTTGATATCCAATTTTTCTTTATCTAAATCATTTGACACCCTCATCACCTTACTCTTTTCTGTGTTCACTTTCAACTTTCTACCTTTACACACATTCTGAAACTCATCCACTAACCTTTGCAATTTTTCTTTAGAATCTCCCATAAGCACAGTATCATCAGCAAAAAGTAACTATGTCAATTCCCATTTTGAATTTGATTCCCCAAAATTTTAAATTTCCCACCCTCCCGAGCACCCTAGCATTTACTTCTTTTACAACCCATCTATAAATATATTAAACAACCATGGTGACATTACACATCCCTGTCTAAGACCTACTTTTACTGGGAAGTATTCCCCCTCTCTTCTACACACCTAACCTTAGCCTCGCTATCCTCATAAAAGCTTTTTTACAGAATTTAGTAACTTACCACTATTCCATATACAGTGGACCCCCGCATAACGATTACCTCTGAATGGCCCAATTATGAAGTGTATTTATGTAAGTGCTTTTTGTTCGTGTATGTTTGGGGGTCTGAAATGGACTAATCTACTTCCAATATTTCTTATGGGAACAAATTCGGCCCAGTACTGGCACCTGAACATACTTCTGGAGTGAAAAAATTTCGTTAACCGGGGGTCCACTGTACTTGCAACATCTGCCAATTGCCCCTCTACCCCACTCTTCATATGCTTTTCAAAAATCCATAATTGCATAAAAACTTCCCTACTTATGTAAATACTGTTCACATATATGCTTCAATGTAACACTTGATCTAAATCCCCTCCCTCTGAGCCTCCTTGTCATCCGCAATTTACATTCGGGTCTTACCTTAATTCTTTCAATTATAACCCTACCGTATATTTTTCCCTGGTTTACTCTGTAAACTTATTCCTCTATAATTTTTACAATCTCTTTTGTCCCCT